TTTCTTTTTATATTCTCTACTTTCTACTTTTATTCTTTCTTCATCTTCATCTACTTTTTACTTTCTATTATTCTTTTATATCATTCATTCTCTTCTTTTTCAATTATTTGCTTTTTTTCGTTGCCATGATAAGATACATATAATCTTCAGTTAATTAAAATAATGGAAATAAAGTGTTATGAGTAATTTATGATTTTATTATTCTATAATTATTTCTTCTTTCTATTCTTTTTATTTCTTCTTATCATTTTACTTTATTATTATTTGCATATCTTAATATCATCTTTTATATCTATTAGATTTCTTACTTATGTTTATTCATTTATTATTCTTCTTTTTTTCTATATGTTATTTATTATTTCTTTATTATTTAATTTCATCATTGTATATATTCTCTATTCATCTCTATCATTTATATTGTGATCTGGTTGTATATTTATTATTAACCATTTATCTTTTATATTTCAATTTCTTCTACTTCTTCATAGAACTATTCTGGATTTATTTCACTTTTGGTTGATTTTATTCCTTCTTTTATTTTTTATTCTTTCGTATCTATATATTTTTCACTTTTGTATCTTTTAATTTCTCATTCATCTTCTATTTTATTGATTTATTCTCTTTTTATTTGTTTATTAATTATCAACAAAAGAACATGAATATTAATAAAAGTGACTGAAATATGAATGAAATAAATTGATACAATCTTGTTGAAGAAATGAACTAGAAAATGAAATAATGAAGAGTGAATTATTTCAATGATAAATTAACAAATTAAATCTAAATAATATTATCCCATTAAATGAAGATTTTTGTAAACTATTCATTCAAATTAGTTATATTTCTTCTGTTTCTTCTCATTTGTTGTATTCTCAAGAACAATCAATAATGTTAATGCCTTTCAAAACCAGGATTATTTAATTAAACAGAAATTCATAATTTTATTAAACACAGTTTTAATAATACTGTCAATGAGATATAAAAGAAAAGAATAAAGAAATAAGATATAAAGAAATAATGAAGACATCAATATATGTTAATGATATAAATGATAGTATTAAAATAGAAATATGAAATAGAAGAATTAATAGAAATGATGAAAGATTTCATTTTAATCCAAAACATTTAAATGAATATTCAAGATAATTAAAAGAACAATGAAAGAGAATTAAAATAAGATAGAGAAATAAATAGAAATAGAATAGAAATAGAATAGAAATAAAAAAGAATTGGATTAAAATTCAAGAAAGAAAAGAATTAATGTAATGATAAATAATGAAATAGGAATTACATAATTTTATAAGAAGATATAATGATGAAATAAATAAGAAATAGAAGAATAAAATGAAATATAAAATATAACAACCAACAACCAACAAGAACCAACAATTTAATAAATAATGAGTTAAAATGTAGAAATTATGAAGATAAACCTATTAACATTTGATTTAATTAATCTAATATTTAGAAGTTAGTTCTATCATTAAACTATTTTGTTTAAATTTGTTATTTATGTTTATTGTAATTAATATCTTTTTTTCATTAATTTAAAAAAATGTTGGCGACTGGCAGGTTTCGATCCTACGACTCTTATTAATTTAACTTAGTATTTCATATTTATTAAATTACAAATAAGTGTTTTACACGTAAAACTACAGCCACTTCTTGTTTATTTGATTTTATTTTCCTTCTCTTTTATTTTTGGATTTTTTATTGTTATATATCCCTTTTCTTTTTCTTTATTTCTTTTTCTTTATTTCTTAATTTAAAATATTTCACTATTATATTTTCAAATCTTCTTTTTATCATTCTTTATTTGTATTGTCTTTCTATTTCTTTTATTTCTTTATTTACTTTCTTATTCTTCTTTTTATATTATGTTTAATGATTTGAACTTATCATATTTATGATTTAATCTCATCATCATCATATTTTCTTTTTTATTCTTTAGTAATCTTTAAAATTATTCATTAATTATTCTTAAATTATTTCAACTTCATTAATTTATTAGTGTGAATTATGTTCATTGATTGTTAAATTATTACTATGATGTTTATAGTATATTATTATTTCATTTTATCCATTTTTAATATATTTTATTTTTTTTGATACTATTTATTCAATCGTTATCACTAAATATTATGAGTTGTTTACTGTTTTTATAATTCTCTTCAATTCAAAAAGATTTGTTGTAAATAAAATTATAATCATTAACTTAATTGGTTATATATTTTATATCTAACAAATAAAAAATATTTTATGATTTATACTGTAATAGAATAACTTATATATTAACAACATCATTAAATGATAAAATAAAAGATTGATGAATGAAAACGATGAGCATAAAGAAGATAAAAGAATAAATATAATTAATATATTACATAATGATGATATTATATTTAAATAATGTTTGATTCCCATTTATTCAAATTAATAATGTCTTAATTATACTTTTATCATTTTATTTTCTATAAGAAATGAAATGTGAACAATAAAGAAATGAATTAAGAGAATAAAGAAGAAATAATAATATTTTATTATAATAACACATTTCAATTGATAGAAACAACATAAAATAACAAAGAATAATAAATCACAAATATAGAATAATAACATCCATAATAAAACAACAGAAATAAACTAATATTATAAAGAAATAATAATATAATTATAAATTAAAATGAACAATCAATAAATGATGAATATATTCTTAAAATAATAATGATTTGAATTATGAATTGAAATTATTATTCATTTCATTTATTGTTGTTATTATTATTTATAGTTTATTTTATTAAATTTCATATTTATTCAATTTTGTTGAATGACTTACAAAAATGAAATGAGTTTTAATTTAATATTTCATTTCATTCTATTTATTAATGAATTGCAAAACACAATAATATGATGAAATGAAGAATAAAATGATTGAGTCATTGAGAAATAAAATGAAAGTAAAAGATAATCATAGGAAATGAAGAAACATATTTAAAGAGAAGAATTGAAATATATTTCATTCAATGCTTATATTTCTATTGATTATTGTAATTACAAGTGGAACAGAAAGTATTAATAATAAAGAAGAAAGAAATAGAGAAGTAACACATATACAAATAGAACCAAAACAACACAAAAGAATGTATAATGGATATAATATACAATTAAAAGGTGAAGTGTCACAAGAACCAACTATGACATTAACCCATGAATCAACAGAAGCACAAAACATACAAACAAAACAAGATGTATCACCAAAAAACTCCAATGATTCTGGAGAACAAAAAGAAACAAAAATAGTGACACCAAACACTGAAACACAAACAACAAGCACAACAAATGTACCAACACAAGGAACAGACACACATAATAATCCAGAATCTACTGTAACACATCCAGAATCAAAAGTTAACCAAAACCCAACCAGTGAATCAGGAACAATCAGTCCAAGTAATGGACAAAGTGAGGCAACTCCAGCAAATACGGAAGGTTCAACAAATTCAGCCAGTTCAACGTCGTCAAATAAACAAACAGACTCATCAAATGGAAACAATGCAGATAAAAATAAACAGGGAGATAGTCCTGAAGGATCAGGGAAAAGTCCAAAACCAACAAATGGACAAGAAGAGAGTATAAACCAAAATGAACAAACAACAACTGGGTCAGGAAAAGATAGTGGAAAAGGGGAATCTACAACAGCTACCACACAAGATGGACAAGGAACAACAGATAGACCAACAGGTGAAGGAAATAATGTAACCCCAACAAATGGAAAAAACGATGTACCAACAGATGGAACATCTACTAAAGAAGATGGAAAAGGTAGTAAAACTGAAGAAAGTGAAAAAGTCACAGATGGAACAGGAAAAGAATCTGGACAAAAACCAAAGGATGGGGAAGATGGTAAACAAACAAAGGGACAAAATGAAAATACAACAGATAGCAAAACTGATTCAAAAGAAAATACAAAAACTAACAGTGAACAAAATGGAAAGAATAGTTCAAATGAAAAACAACAAACAACTTCAGAAGAAAAGCATAATACCACAAATACTAATTCTGAAAATAAAACAGATGATAAATCAAATAATATCAATGATGAACAAAATGAACATCATAATATGGATAATGTCTCAACTATTTTCATTCTTCTCTCTACAATCACTCTAACTTTGTTATTTTAATTGACTTTAATTATCAATAACATCATTTTATTATTATGGTAATAAATGAAATATGAATTACATCATTTTGTAAATATGATTCAAGTTCAAATAAAATATATCAATTATTAAAATTCATTCATTATGACTTGTGTATTAAATAAAAATAAATTGAATAATGATATAAATAGTCAATAAATAAAAAATTAAATAAATAAAGAAGATGGTTATGGTAATAGTAAGAATGAAAATTAATTTATATTATGATTGAAAAATAAATGATTTGTGCACAATTTCAAAATATTAAGTACAAATTAAATAAAAACAAAACGTTCATTAAATACAATGAAATTTAATTTATTATTATCGTTATTAAAGAAATATTATCCATGAATATTATAATGAAAAGAAATAGAAATAAAATAAAAACTTTAATTTGATTATGAAATAATGAATGAAATTTAACAATACATCTCAAATTCATTATTCTTAAAAATACATTTATAATTGAATGATCTTCGTTATTCAAACAAAAGATTCAGCAAAATAAAATAAATTAATAATAAAAATATGAATAATAAAGATGAGTTGATAGAAATACAATTAAAATAATAAATAAATCAATATTTACATTAAAATAGTAGAAGATTAAGAAGAAGAATTAGAAAGACTAAGAAAATGAACATAAAGAAAAAAATAATCAAAACTGAAAGAATATTAAAGAAGACATAATAAAACACAATTGAAAAAGATGTTAAATATAAACAGATAGAAATGAGTTATGAATTACTCGATATTTCGTATTTCATCATATTGAGAAATGAGTATTTTATTTTTTCATAGTTTTTATTTTTATAGAAATTAAGTTTTTTCAAACATTATTAACTTATTATTTATTCGTCTTTTATCTTGTTATTTCTTGTTATTAGTTGTTATTTTCTTCATTCTTTATTTTCTTATTTATGTTGAATATATCATTGCTTTATTCTTTCTGTTGTTTTGTTTTTATCTTCTTACATTCTTTGTTTCTTTATTATGTTTGTTGTATTATCAAATATTTGTGTCATAACAACTCATTCATAATTCTTTCTTTATAATTTACTCACACTTTATTCTCTTAAATGATATTCCATTTTCATTAATAAACATTGTCATTCATGTACTATTAAGTAAGATATTTTCTAAACTAAGGTAACAACACAACCAGAAAATAAATAATAAAACAATATTTTGATATATTTTAATGTTTGTGTTGTGTTTCTGACATTCCACCTTTTGAGCCTCAATACGAATTTATTATAAAAAAGAATAAATAAAATAACAAATGAGAAATGATAATTATTTCAATCAACCCATTGTAAATATTTCAAGACAAACAATAGGAAGATTAACCTTATCGAATAAACGAGGGTTACCAAAAGTTTCAGAAGAATAAGAAGAGACAGTAAAATTTTTTTTAACTAAAAGAGCAGGACCTTCTCCCCCACCACCGAAGAAAAGATTTTCATTTTTTGTAGAACAAAAAAGGGAATTTTTTTCAGTCCAGTGATAAGTGTGAAGAATTTTATTTAGGTCAATTTTAAATAAGAAATCCTCTCCATTACCAAAATAAGGAGCAGAACCTAATAATAATGAATGAGATAAAAACATTCCTACTATCCCTTGTTCTGTTTTTAATACAAATAATAAGGGTTGATATTTTCTTACTTTATTATACATATGATTAAACGATACACCATCAATAGATGAATTAAATACAATATTTGGTTCTAATACTCTTCTATGCACTGGGATATGTTGCCAAATAAGTTCTAATGTTGAATATTCTATAACAGATGTATTAATATTCATTTTTAATGGTGTAAATGAATGTCGATCTTGTGATGGTTGGTTTAATGGAATTGTTGTTAAATCAATTTTTAATGCGTTTTTCATTAAAATAGATGGGTCTGGATATGCCAATAAAACATAATTTAATACTGAAACAAACTCATCAGTTGTTTCAGCACAATTTAAAATATCTTCTGCAACTTTTGCAGCAGCAAGAATATATCGAGTTATTGTTTTTATTCCAGACACTAAAAATTGATCAAGAATACAAAATAATGCTCCATAAGAAACATATCCTACCATAAAATTAGTATAGTATTTAAGAAATGTATTTACTGATAATGCATTTATTATTTGTGATTTATTTGGGAAATATGATTTTAACGTATCAATTAAACTATCTTGAATTAATACGTAATCAACTGGATGTAATGGTAATAAATTATTAGACTGTGATGAATGAGTTAGTAATGCTTGACCAAAACATAATGTTTCATCTAATGTACAACATGAAGCAACAATTCCAACTAAAAAAAATGAATAAAAATTATACTACTACCAAATAAATAAAAAAAATAAAAGTCAAACGAATATTTGGTAATATAGGACAGAAAGTAATATTTGGATTATGAATAGAAAGAATACTAAGAATAAAACCAATGGAAGAAAGTGCTCTTTCTTCTAATAGTGGATGTTCTTTAATATGAAATATACCATTATACTAAATAATTAATCAAATTAAAATTATGTCTTTATATATTGTAATCACAAAAATTAACAAACAGTAAAAGGAAATGATAAAATAGTATTTGGTGGACAACAACCTCCAAAAGAATGTAAAACACTAGAAAGATAATAATCGGGATGTTCTCTTATAAAAGACTCTATTCCTGTATATTTGACAAAAAACATTCGTTGATAATTTAATCCAATTCCTTTCTTTACATAAGTTTTCCATGAACGTGAAAATGGAGGATGAATGTCATTAATTCCAAGTGGATTTTTATGTAGTGCTGTACGTTGTAATGAGATATTCCCTATTCTAATAATATCAGATTTTCTAGGATCTGGTAAGAATGTTGAAAAGGAATATGGTGGTGGTCTTGGGACTAAAGGTAATGAAAGATATAATAAATACTTTTGATAAAATGATTCTGGAACAGTAGATACCATGTTAATACGTAAAAAACACCACCTTCTACAAGACTCACCAATATTAGCAATTGCATCACTTAATGTGTTATTAGAAGTGTCAAGAGAACACCATCTAGGATAGCCATTAAATAATGATATAATAGAAGTATTTGACTGTTTGACATACCCAATTACAGAAGATATATGATCTTTATCATTTTTTATATCTTTCAAAGAGACTTGAGACGTTGACTCACTTCCTTCAATGGAAAATTTTTCAACAAGAGAAGTGTCATTAGATTCTGTGTTCATAGACTTTAATTTCTTTTTTCTGTTTTGGGAGATTTTTATTTTCTGCAATAAACTCACTTTTTATAGAGAATAGCCAGAATCAGAGGTTTCATAAAATACTTATTTTTCTTTCATATAGTTCATTTATAACAAATATACCATCTATAAGATATATTTAAATCAAAAGAAAAATTAAGTGATATATAACAAAATAAAATCATTTTTAAGAAATATTTTTTTAAAAAAAGAAGTAGCTATTTTTAGTTATAGTAAAAATGATTGATTAACTAATTGATAACTAAAAGAAAACTTTAATTAGTTTAACATAACAAAAAATAATTGAAATAATAAAACTTTGTTGCAGAATGAGTGATCCATCGGTCAATGAGGAAACTATTCTTTATTTAAATAAGACTATTGATAAAATAAAAAACCAGAAATGGAAACCAGTTATCAAAGAGTATATAAGCTTTGTCATTGAACAAAGTAAAAATCTTTCATGGAGTGAGTTTGAATATTGTGTTGTATTACCATTTAAAATGATGAAGGATGAACAGATTTCTGTATATATTAAATTTCCTAAAATTAGAGATAGTGCCCAAGTGATGAATTTCATAAAAACCCAAACTGGTTTTTATCAAAAACTATATGAAAAGAAAGTTTTATTTCTTCCTTTATCCTGCCCTAAACATATCATTAAAGAAATTATAAAAGATTATTTCTTTTCTCAAGAATGGGATGTTCTTCTTGATAAAATTGTTGTAGACCAATTACCTTCTCCAAAGTGTCTTCAAATTATTAAAAAACTACAACAACACTATTTGTTTCATGACTGTATATTACCGAATCAAGTTACTTTAACACAACAAATTATTCAACAAAACACATCTTTGCAGATTGCTATGTCAAAATTATTTACACAAAACTCAAGAGGGTTAATTGTAATGTTTGAGCTTCAAAGGAAAGAAAGTCAAAAAGAATATAACGTCCCTATCACTACTAACACTGAAAATTCTCAACTTTTAAAAAGAGAAAGAAGGCTTTCTTTCATTAGAATGGATTATGACATAGTTTCTAAAGGACTTGAATCAAAAGACATTATTAACACAGACAGTCCTAATAGTACTAAATCCTTTAATAGAAACCAGTTGTTAGATGAAAAAAATGAAAATGAATTATTAACATCATCTTTTGTTCCAGCAAGAATAGTTAAAGAAAATGACACAAATAATGATCATGAACCATTAAAAATCTTTGAACGAAACACTCAAAACTCTTCTTATATAATGGACTCATCCTATCTACATAAAAAAATAGGATTACTAAACACTTCTCTAGTAGATGACTTTGACTTTCAAAGATTTTATAAGGCCCAAACTAATTACTCAACTCCAGAACAAACAAGCCGGTTTCATCGTATTGACAGTTTACTAAAAGCTAAAAAAACACAAAAAGAAGAATTATTGAACATGGAAGAAGTTATTGATACATTATCCTTTGAAAAACTTCCATTATGTTCAATTTTTCATTGATTGTTTACTGTATTTTATTTTTATTTGTTTCATAATAATGTAAACTTGTAAAGATAAAATACCTTTTCAATTAGAATGAACACAACATGACCAACAACCAGAGAAACAGGTTTTAAGCATTTCTTGCCCATATGGAAGATATGAGAATAAATACCACAGTAATGCCACAACTTCTAATACTACACAAGGAAGTGTTAATAGAGTAGATTTTAGCTTTAAAGCACAAAAGAGAACAAGAGCAATAGAGACTAAATAGATAACAAATGCAATTAACTTGGGAATATCAGAAATTAATGATTTAATTTGACTAGAAATACTTCTTAAAAAGAATGTTGAAAGTAAAATTAGTATATTCCCAACAGTAAATAATTTAGCAAATTTCATTGGAAGTAAAATGAATGTAAAACTCAAGAAAAGACTAATTACACCAAAGAGCACAAGTATACATATTATTGAAATTCGTACTTTAAAAGGAAGTTTGAAATATGAAAAACATGATTGGTCTTCACCTCCAACCAATGTATCAAACCAACTTTCTGAGAAATAATCATCTTCTTGTTGTGGTCCATTTACTTTAGAACGAACCGTTCTTTTAAGACTCGACCATCCACTTTTGATTGTATCCATAATGAAAAGTTGATTAAAATAAATAAGTTCATTATTTTTTCTATTATTTTCATTTTTTGGTTTTATTAGAACTCAATAACAATAATTTACTGTTCATCATGGAAAATAACCTTCAGATACAATCAAATCAAGAAGATTTAAATCATCAGCAACAAAATCAAGAAGATTTAAATCATCAGCAACAAAATAAAAAAGAAGAATTAACACCAGAACAACAACAACAATTAGATGAAATGTTAGGTCAAATGAAAACTCTTGGAAATTCAGTCCTTGGGTTTTTTGGATTATCAACCGACAACTTTAATGTTCAGCAAGATCCTAATACTGGTGGATATTCTATTCAATTTGTTCAAAACCCAAATCAATCTCAACAATAAATATTCAGTCGTTTTAATAAGAACAAACAGTAGAAATTCCTTAACCAAAAGACTATAATATTTCTTTTAATTGAATTTTCACTATTTCTTTATTATAAAAGAATCATCAACAAAAAGAACATATATTTCAACGTTAAATATAATTCTTCATAAAACAAAAACAATATTTAAAAAGTATAAAGTTTATTTCTTTTAAGACATTAAAAACAATTATAAAAAAAAATAAGTTATAATTCTTTAATAGTTTCATAAAAAGGATTTTCTGTATTTAAATATAAAAATGTTAAAACATAAAATTTAAAGAAGAAATAACAAATACAATTAAACTCATTCATCACTCATTTAGTATGTAGTTGTATCTCATTCAATAACTATTTTTATAATACAAACAGTTAAACCCAATAACTGTTTCAAAAATATTTTCATTTATTTATCTTTATTTTAACAAACAAATTAATAAGTTTGAATTAAAGGAAAAAACAATATTCAGTAGATTGAATAAATTATTAATTTATATTTAAAATTATTTATTCAAACTAATTGATTGGATTATCTTTAGTTATGTTTTTAATGATGAAATTAAATAAGTTAAATTCAATTAAATATAAAGTTATTGATACTTCATTTATAATTATATTTTACTACAAACATTTTCAATAGTAATTTTATGTTAATAACATTATTCTTAAATAACATTAATAATTATTTATTAAAATGTTTCTATTTAATTAATAATTCTTTGAAACCTTTTATAAAAATGTCTTGTTATTTTTTTTATTAACAATTTATCATAATAACTGCCTCAAAAAACAAAAGTCAAATAAAAGAAATATTTGAATTAACATAGTGTAAATTACAATTAGTTTTTTTTTCATTAAAAGTATTTTAATATGAATAAAGAAATAAAGAATAAAATAAAAATGTTAAAAAGTAATAATGTCAAATAGGATTATTAAGAAAGATTATAATCCTTAAAAATCTTGCTTATCTTAAAAAAACAAAAATTTTATTTTTATTTTTTTTTTAGCTTTCTTTTTATTGATTTTGAACTAGAACTTAAAATTATATTATTAGGGAATGAATAAGAGAATTAGTCTTTTATTGTTATTTGTTACTCTTGTTTTATCTAGTCCTCTTCTTGACATGAAAATAAAAACAGAACAAAAATATAAATTGATTGAAAGTGCTGAGACTCGATCAATTGATCAATCAGTAAAAACTACACGTTTAGCAATTGAACGTTCACAGAAGAGAATTGTTGCATTAAATAAAAAAATTGATAATGTTAATGATGCTATTAAAAACATCACTAAATCTCTTACAGGAATTGAAGCAAATATTATATCTACAGGAGCTGCAGTTACTACAGCAGAAATGAAATATGAAAGTGCTAAGAAAGCTGGTTCAAGTCAAATAGAACAATATGCTAAAGAACTTAAAGAATTTAAACAAGCATGGAATGAAGCAAAGAAAAATAAAGAAAAGATTATTATAAGAAAAAGTGAATTAGAAGCTAGAAGTAAACATTTATTAGCACAAGGAGAACAAATGAGAATGGGAATTCAAGAAATGAATAAAGCACTTCATACATTTGAAGCACAAAAAGTAGAATTAAAAACAAGATTAGAAGAAGAAAAAAGTGAAGAGATTCATCATAGAAGATTATATATTACTG